GCAGCTCTGTCTGTCCTGACAGATCTCAGAGGTTAATTTTACAATGGACCTTTTCAATTCTGCTCTTGGAAGAAATATCACATTTGTTCATCCTGCTTATTTTATTTTAAATGGATTTATTGGATTGCCTTATATGAAGTACTACTACGTGTTTCTGTTTTTTGTCTACATTGTTTCAGTGTTTGGAAACATGGCTGTTATGGTTGTAATATTTCTGGATTATAACCTAAGAACTCCAAAGTATGTTGCTGTTTTCAATCTGGCATTTGTGGATCTGTTAGAGAGCACTGCTCTGGTGCCAAAAGTTATTGATGTTTTTTTATTTAATCACTATTACATCCCCTATGCAGACTGTTTMGCATTCATGTTTTTCTGCTTCTCTTTTCTTTCATTGCAAGCTCTGAATCTACTTGCTTTATCATATGATCGACTGGTGGCCATCATGTTTCCTCTGCATTATCAAACAAAGTTTACTAACAAGTTAATGTTTTCCTTGATTGCATTTTTCTGGAGTTTTGTTATAGTTTGTAATTTTATTGCAGCCGGTCTTCTAACAAGACTTTCTTTCTGTGAGTCTGTGGTTATTAACAGCTATTTCTGTGATCATGCTGTCATTTACAAACTTGCATGTAATGACTATTTTCCAAGTGCCGCCCTTGGGTTTTTTCTGCCAGTTCTTTTTCTTTGGGTTCCTTTACTTATCATCCTGTCCAGTTATATTTGTATTGGCTATACTTTATCGAAAGTAGCTTCAGTTGAAGAGAGAGTGAAAGCTTTTAAAACATGTACAGCTCATATATCATTAGTGGCAATCTTCTTCCTTCCAGTAATTATCATATACAGTATAGATTTAAATATGCATCAAAATGCCAGAATCATATCCCTYTCTCTGACCTCAWTCTTTCCTCCTATGTTGAACCCAATTATTTATGTTTTACAGACACAGGAAATTAAAGTTTCTATGAAGAAAATATTTAATAAAAGGAATACTAGTATTATGGTAAAATAAGACATTATCTGATGAAAACAAAGTGCATGTTTTAATTCATTCAATAAATTATTTTATTTGTAATCGCTGAATGCTTTACTGTTGTGTCTTAATATGATGTAGATTCTGAGTCACCCAGAACATGATACAGGAGTTTAAAGGGCACTGTCTATGCTGCATTTTTAAAATTCAAGATATACCACAGATGTGGTTCTGCTCCACTCCGCTGCAGTTTGATCTCCGCAGCAAATTTGGAACCATTATAATTAATGAGAGTATTTACTCTGGCTTCGCATGGCGGCAAGGGGCAATGGTGAGCAGARGGCGATGAGCCAAAATATTATTTGATCCTAATTTTGCTGGACTCTGGAGCTCTGGAGTATATCTACAAAGATCATGTTGCATCAACAGGAAAAGGAACAAGCATAACATCTGTAGTTTTAGAATTATTCACCAAAGGCAGACTGATTTAGTCAAAGTTACAGCTTTATTAATAAATATATGGGTATATTTATACACAAATGCTGTCAGAATATAACTTTCTGTTTGGGAAACGGAAACATGTAGCAAGCAGCATACTGTATTTAAACACACAATACACGTGGATTTTATTCTGAAATCAGATGTTTCAAAAACACGACAGCGATGCAGTTTCAACTGTGTTTGGAATTTGACTCCACAGAATTAATTATTTTGCTCCGACTTCCACATTTATCATTGGATTTATTGCACAATCTCACATCTGTGTTTCACACCAGACTGGACCTGAGCAGACTCTGTAAGAACTGGGTTGCAAATGAATAGCTGTGAACTGCACAATTCAGAGCGGAACCTGGTGTAAATTAGCCTAATTTAAACTAGATGTTTTGGAAATTGTTATGGAGATAGACTGTTATGGAGAGCTCTACCGTTCTCCACCACCATTGGTGGCATCTGCCACTTTGACAGGAACCTCCAGTCCATACTCAGCACAAATGTTCTTGTATGCTACAGCTCCTTGATTAGGGCACTCCATTTATGTTTGCCTGTCTGGACCTTATAACATGCTATTCTGTGTTAGACTGTCTCTGGGGTGCATTGGCAAAGCGTGCATCTTGGGTCTTATGTGGATTGGTAGACTAAGGTCACTATTGCTCTTGTGCTGCTGAAGCAACTTGATCACTTTACAGAAGTCTGAATAATATAGCTCAAAAAAAAAGTTGGATCTCTTCTAAAAAGGTTTTATTTCCAATTTGATGGCAGTTCAAACAACAGTCAGGCCTCAGTGTAAGGCCTTTAGCTCTTATCAGTAGCAAATCAGCCCAGACTGTCTCAGGCTGCTGTAAGCAGAGACTTACAAAATAACCAACCTCTAAAACCTCTCATATAATAAGGAATCAGCCTTATAATGTACGTGTCTTCCTGGTTACACCCCTGCAGGTGTTAAGCTTTTATGTCAGATGTTAGCGTAACCTAATTTTGTTTATGCTACATCAAGAACACATGATAAGACACACCAATTCTCATTCTGACTGCAATGATCTGAAAGTATAAAAATACAAAACTGGGTCTAACATTCAGTAGATCAGTTACAAAATTTCCTTCACTGCCATGATTAAAWTTTAAAGCATTTTGTTGAGTACTTGGAGTCTCTAGGAGTTCAGAAAAGTTTAATTTAGTTTTTCCTGTTGCTGCAAAGTTATCTTTATATTCTGTTTGGGTTATATTTTTTTAGCCCATACAGTTTTCTCTATTTTCTATGGTATTTTCTGAACTATTAAATTGTRATATGTCTTGTACAATTTTGGTTTAAAGACTTTTATGTTTACTAGACTGTTAACTAAGCATTTGGAGTTAATATGGCCTTAACGGACAGTGATTCAAAAGAAAAAAAAGCAAACCTGTAAATCTGCGATGATGAATGTGATACAGTTGAACTTTTGAGTGCACCTAATATTTGTGCTGGTGCACCTAAGAAAAAAATGTTAGGCGCACCAGTGCAAAAGCTGAGCCTAGAGGCCTGAGGGGGTTCAGGCTTGTGCAAAATAGGGAGCCCATTCTCATGCCCCCGTGTCAAGGTATTGACGCTTGACCAAGCATCATTATGTTGATGCACGTCCGTTCTGTACGAGATGGGGCGGAGGAGGAAGATGTGTCTTTACAAGACTGGAATTACGCAAAACTAAACATCCTAGACCCAAAATGTAACTTATATTAGCCTGGATAAATATGGAGGATTTTTACTCCAATGCCAGCTAGCGTTTACTCGCTCCCCATCGCTTTTCCCTGGTAACATGGCTAAAGTTACTTACGTGATAAATTCTCTAAGAGGCAAGGCTTTCAGATGGGCTCATGCCTTTCTGAAATCTCATTCTACTGCTATGCTAACATATCAATGTTTTTTGCAAGAATTCAGACGTGTCTTTGACCACCCGCTCCAACAGGAGGCAGCAGTGAAGCGAATTCTGGCGCTACGTCAAGGGAGGAAGTCCAGGGCTGATCAGTCGGTCGGCTTCGGGATCACGGCAGAGGAGACAGGAGGGGACAACCTCGCTCTTAAGGGTATTTTTATTAATTCCCTCTCTGCTCTCTTAAAGGATAGACTCGCCACCCGTGATGAGCACAACACCTTGGACGAATTAATAACCATGGCGATCCAGATTGACAATCGGCTGCATGAACGAAGGAGAGAGAGACTACGTGTCCCATCAACCCTTGGTTCCTGCCTCTTGTCGTATTTCTGCCCTCACATCAACAGAATCACATACAGCTGAGCCGGAGCCTGAACTCATGCAACTCAGACGAGCGTGTCTGTTCAAGGAAGAGAGGCTAAGATGTTATGAAGCTAAGGAGTGTTTTTACTGTGGAGGCAAGGACCATTTTGTGGCGCAATGTTCTTTGTTAGTAAAAGGCAAGACCCACCAGTGAGTGAGGGGATCCTGGTGGGTCATATTGAACTCAGCCCCTATTCTCACCTTTCACTGCACTCCATGCTCATCTCCAACCACAAGAGGGTTTCCATTCATGCCTTAATTGACTCTGGAGCTGAGAAAAACTTAATTTCTGCTGATCTGGTAGAAATGTTGGAGTTACCAATCAAGCCTCTCAACCCACCAGTTCCTGTGATGAGCATTACTGGAGACAKGATCACCAAGATTCTTCATAAGGTGGACATTGTTCAACTACTCTTCTCAGGGAACCACCGTGAATTTGGTGAGTTTTTTGTTTTTTCTTCATCTACCCCACAACTCATTCTGGGTTAACCTTGGCTGAAAAGACATAACCCCATTTTTGATTGGCAACTCAAAAGAGTTGAAATATGGAGTGATTTTTGCCTAAATAACTGTTTAACTTTGGCAGGCCTGGCTACATCAGTTAAAAACAATACCTAAGAAAAGATCGATCTCTCTCTGATTCCAAAATAATAGCATTATCTGGCTCCTGTTTTCAGTAAAGCTAAAGCTTTATCTCTTCCTCCCCACAGACAATACAACTGTGCCATTGAGCTTCTGCCTGGAGCTCCTCTACCGTCTAGTCAACGCTATAACCTTTCCTTACCAGAGAGAGAATCTATGAAAAACTACATTGAAGAGTCACTCGCCTCAGGTATCATCCGTCCTTCCACCTCACCCCTAGGAGCTGGTTTCTTTTTTGTAGAAAAGAAAGGTAAGAGCTTGAGGCCATGCATAGATTATCAAGGTCTTAACCGAATAACAGTAAAAAATACTGTAAATACCTCCTACCACTCGTTGACTCTGTTCATCAGCAGCTTCATTCAGCCAGCATCTTTTCTAAATTAGATTTATGCAATGCGTATCATTTAGTTAGAATAAAGGATGGTGACGAATGGAAGACTGCTTTTAAAACACCCTTAGGACACWTTGAGTATTTGGTTATGTCATTTGGCCTTTCAAATGCTCCAGCAGGTTTTCAGTCTGATTCTTMAACGTGAACATTTTTAACATTTTCGTCTTCGTTTATCTTGATGATATCCTTATTTATTCTAAGTATCCTATTCAGCACACCCAACATGTCCGAGTGGTATTACTGCAACTTATGGAAAATCAGCTTTTCGTTAAAGCTGAGACATGTGAGTTTCACATTGAGTCTGTTTCATTCCTGGGCTTTATTTTTGGCAAAGGTTTTTTTCAAARAGATCCCCTGAAGGTCAAAGAAGTGGCAGAGTGGCCGACCCCTACAGACCATAAGCAGTTGCAGCAACTTTTAGGCTTCGCCAATTTTTATCGACATTTTATTTAGGACTACAGTTGTGTGGCAGCACCACTCACTCAACTGACCTCCACTCTGAAGACCTTCCATGGAACCCCCAAGCCAACGTAGCCTTCAGTGAGTTAAAGAGGAGATTCATTTCAGCACCCATTTTACACCTCCCCATACCATCTGAACAGTTCATTGTCGAAGTAGACGCCTCAGGCACCGGTCTTGGAGCCATTTTGTCACAGAGGTCTTGTTCTGATAACAACACCCATCCCTGTGCTTACTTTTCTCGTTGTTTAACACCCTCTGAATGTAATTTGATGTAAGAAACCAAGAACTGTTGTAGGGGTCACCTCGAGTGAAGAAACAGGWGTTACTGCCTCAAAGCAGGTCTCGGAAAGGCCTGGCCGAAGGCAGGAACACTGAACTCTATTTTAGGCCATGATAGGTCATTTCAACCTACAGGAGGACTTCAGTTCTCTTAATCAGATATTAGACAGAAACAATCTTTTCTGTTCGTGATTCATTTATTGTTTAACTAAGAATGTTATGCATTTGTTAATCGTAATAATGACATGTCACAAAGAAGATGCAATCACTTCTATTCTTTTATCGTGCCTAAAAGATTAATTAATGGTATAAAATCACAGAAAATATTCACCATGTTTTCATTGTGTTTTTATATAAATCACTGTTTATTTTACTGGAAACATCAGTAATATAA